GAATAATCTTATTATCTGATATTTTTTTTATTATCCACTCTTTTCTTCCACGTTTTTAGGAAAAACTTTATTTAATTTTTAAATAATACTATTTTAACATAATAAATTTGTATTAATTAATTATGTATGAATTTTACTTCTTAATTTTGAAGATTAGCTTTGATTTTCGTATTTATAATTTATTTCTTAAAGAAAATTATTAGTAACTATAAGAAAAAAAATAAAAATAATGAGAAATAAAAAAAATTCTTATGAGTGCCCGAAATAAAATCCTAGCTCCGACTTGCTAGATCTATCATATAAAGTCATGCGGGTAACCAAGCTTTTCATGTACTTGGAACAAAAAACCACGTCTGCTTCGTTAATTTGCTTCATTGGGCAATTAATAGAGAAAGGGATAATTATTAGTGTAGATGATTTTTTGTCGTATCCTCAAATAGTTAGATTTACTTTGGTCATTGAAAAAAAAAAAAAGTTAGATTGACTTAACATCTCTTATAGTTATGAAGATTCCGCAAAATCAAACGTCATTTGTGTAGCGGATAAAAGTTTATTACTCTTGTAAAATAAATATTTTATTTTAGAAGAAATACCGAAAAAATAAAGGGTTATTAATTCTCGTTTTTCACCACCTAAAACATATCTAAGTTAAGACCAATGTTTTCACCAACTATATATACCAATAATTCCCAAAGATATGCAAAAGGAGTCTAATAACGCGTGAAACGTGTCAATAAATACTAACAACTAAAACTTATTCTAATATAAATTCAACACGCGTTATAAAATTCAGCTCATCAGATCGTTTATCTCTTTTTTCATCGGTGACTCATGATAGATATTTATGCCTTCTCATATGTTCTTCGCAATCCTTTCCCAAAAAAAAAAAAAAAAAAAAAAAATGATCAGAAAAAATGGGGGGAAAAAAAGAAAAAATGGGTGGAAAATAATCAGTCTATAATATAGGAAGGAAATTGTCTATTTCCTATATTAGGTCGGTGGAATGGAGCGACGCGTGCACCTATAATAATTGCACGTAAAACAAATTAAAAGGGCATAACGGCGAAAGCATTTGAACGTCAAAAGAACACAAGTGCGTTCGGGAACAAGACGATTGAATTTGTCCCATTAAATTCCAAGAGAATGCTTAATGCCAATATGCCAAAACTTAAGGTCCACAACAATAACAAGTGATGATTTTTCCCTCACGTTCTTTTCTCACCAAAAAAAAAAAAAATACTAGTGTCATTATTTCGGTTATTTTTTATTCATTATTTGCTATATAAATTCAAATGTCTTATTTTTTTTTATAAATAATAATATATCATGTTAATTGCGTCCACATAACTATCAATTATTGTTAATTTCATCGCGTCGTGACTTTGTATGGATAGCCCCTCATTAGTCGCTCTTCTTCCATGCATGTACTTCCTTATCTTTTTCAACCATTAGTGTGCGTTTGATTGGTAGATTCGTACCATGATTTGTATCAAAGTTCGTGATTTATTTCAGTATTTTATTTCATAAAAAATACACGTAAATCGAGAATAATTCTGAATTCATGAACTAAACGTCCACTAAGTCTCAAATTAGACCAAAATAAAACAATGAGTCACTTATATAAATGCCAATAATGAGTGCCTTGTTTTAAAAAATACTTACTTTCTTGTTTATTTAAAAAAGCTCTATTATCGTGTATATAAATACCATTATATCCTCATATAATGAGAAAAAAAAATATTGATTAAAGAACAAAATTGGTAAGAAAACGAATCTTGATATAGAGAAAATCATTCTTTGAATTTTATTATTTACAAAGTCAACACCTAGTATTAAATTATATTAGCATTTAATGAGAATATAGTCGTTTTAAACAAAGGAAGTTTCCTTTAATGAAAAATGAAAAGGAACTCTGACGAATGAAAAAAAGGAAATGATACCACTATCCTCCGCTATTGATCTAAAAGAATAATAATACAAACTCTGACGAATGAAAATCAATAATAATTGTGAAAATGAATGCCAAATTTAAATTACACATGAAGAACGAAATATACAAAGCCACACATTTGTTTCTTTAGAAATATTTATCATTATGACACATAATATGTCTATACATAAATATACAAAATCCAATATTATTTTCATTAGTTTAATGAAAAAATTATTTGAAAAGCCAAACACAAAGCTAAACGTAATTTTCATTAGACTATTGATAGAATTATTATGATAGGGAATATATGACTAAGATACAAAATATATGACTAAAATAAATAAAATACAAACCCAAGCACAATTTTCTTTAGACTAATGCTAAAATCACTAAGATATAAAATATTTGACTAATTCACATGAATATAAAAAACCATAAATTAATTTCATTAGCATAATGTTAAAACCACAAATTAATTTCATTAGCATAATGTAAAAGGAAAAAAACAAAACAAAACAAAACGGAGAAAAATAGAAAGTAAATATATAAATTTTAATAAAAAAACCAGAATTAAAAAAGTAAAAATTAACCATAAAAGTAATAATGCCTAAAATACTTAATGAGGGCAAAACGGAGAAAAAATAAGCCTTAATCAGCGTTTTTATAATATTATACAATAGTCGACGTTTGTAAAAATACAACTTCTAAAGTCGGTATTTTATATAATTACTTCTAAAACAAATTACATAGAGAGATGGGAGAAAAGAAAGGGCAAAAAAAAAAAAAAAAAAAATTCTGCTAAGCATTAGGAATAGACAATAATAATCAATTCGGTCCATCAATTAAACACCTGTTTGAGTAAAGAGTTTCATATGGGGCTGCGCTTTCCACGTTGCGCTCCTTCCTCTTAGATTCGATGTTCTTTTTTTCTTCTTTATAAATTCTACGATGAAGTACCAAAAAAAAAAAAAAAGAGGCTATTTTCAAGTCGATTAATTCAATAAGAATATGTTAAATTGTATAGATATTTATATTGTAACTGTTTTATCATAATACAATGTAACATTCAGAAATGTGTACTTTTAATTTTAACATGTAAAATTTTTGATGCCATTTGTTGTAAAATGAAGGATTGTGATTTTATGAGCCTAAATGTTGTACTTTTATAGTTACATTTATGCATTGTTCCTTTTATAACTCAAGTCATAATTTAAGTTTTATTATTATAGTATTTTTTCTTATAAAAATTTAAATTTAACTTTTTATTAATATTTTTCTCTTACATACACAAGTGAAGTTAAATACTTGAATTGTAAAACAAACCTAATTTAGGAAGAAATTGCCAATTATAATTATTACTGAAATATTGTTATTGTAGTATCTTGATTGCCTTGATTCAGCAGCTTGACAAATTTAACTATTGCGCCATTAGATCAGCAAACCTTTTTTTTGGGGCATAAATAACAGAATAGGGAATTTTGGAACCATACAAACGACTACTGTCATAGGTCGTTTGCCATTTCAATCCCACACCAGGGCACCTCTTTTTGGGTGCAAATAAAACAAGAGTAATCTTGACAAATACATTTTAAAAGTGTATACATCAGAATTTTTATTTTTTATTATTAATTCATAACTTTTTAAGTCAAATAATTATAATAATAAAAGGGTATTTATCAATAATAAAAGGTAAAAGTCTAGACTCATGTACTTTTAAGGGTAAATTTTCTATTTTTTCATAAAAACAAAGTGGACTTTGAAGTCTAAATCTTACCTACCAGTTTACTACCATTTACTCAAGAGTAATTTTGACAAATACCTTTTAAAAGTGTATGAGTCAAAAATTTTTTTTTTTTTTTCCTGATTCATATTCTTTTTAGTTAAATAATTATATTAATAAAAAAATATTTATTAAAAATAAAAGATAAAAGTCTATACTCCTAGAAATTCTCCATTTTTTCCGGATAAACACACCACCGTTAGTGGGGCCCATTGAGGAGTAACACGCAAATGGCGTTAGTGAGGCCCATTCAGGAGTAACACACAAAAAAGGGGCCTATACGGGCTTTGAGTTGAGTTGGATCATCTCCTTTCTCCCGTTAGTGAGGCCCATTTAGGAGTAACCAAATTGTAGTTAGGCTAAAAAAAAGACAAAATTAAAGAATTTATGTTTGAGAGTACGCGAGTCAAAATTTTTATTTTTTATTCTTGATAAATATTTTTTATTAATATAATTATTTAATTATAAAGGTTATGAATTAAAACTAAAAAGTAAAAACTCTAACCCATACACTTTTTTTTAAAAGTATTTGTCAAGTTATCTAAAAAAACCATTAATAGCTATTTATCACCTTTTTTTAAATCATTTAAAACACATAGATAAAAAGCCTATATTACCCCTCAAAAGAAAATATATTAAAAGAAAAATAAGTAAATTTTTGTATTTTGACCATCATTTTTAATAAATGGTCCAAATTTTATTTTTTAAGCAAATGGTTGAATTTTTTATTTAAAAAAATGAGCATTTTTAGCGCAATCAAAAATTGACTGATTCGTTATTATAAATTTATTAGATTTATCATTAATAAACATGTAATATGTTTATTAAAATTGATTAATTAATAATGAATTTTATTTAATTATAAATTTATATTAATTAATAATAAAAAATTATCAGTATAGTACTATTATTTAAGTCAATCAATGATAAATGAATTAATTACTATTACTTAAGTCAATCAGTGATAAATTAATCAATTACTGATTAACTATTAGATTAATGTGTAATTAACCATTGAATTAATAAGGGTCTGTTTAATTCGTTGATTCGAATTTTTAATTCGAGTTGAGATGTGACTTTATGTGAGAATTTTTTACTGTAATAAAAAAATTAAATGTGATTATTTTTAAGAATTTTTTACTGTAATAAAACTCAAATTCTAAACTCAAATCAATAAAATAAACGGAACCTAAATTAACATCTCATTGACCGAACAAAATTGTAACTTAAAAAAGAAAAAAAAAAGGGATTCGATGTAAGATGATATATTTTAGAGGTCAAATTTAAAATTAATCCGTATACCAGCCCATTTTCCATTCCTGAAAAAAAAAAAAAAAAGAAGCTCACCCCCACACAGTCGGCGCCATTTTCAACAAACCCACCAACCCAAGCCAAAAGCATCCATTACGCGATTACCAAACACCCGAAAAAAGGTGTAAATTTCGTTCGGCGGCGGAGAATGGGGGTGGCGGCGAAAATAGCACCGTCGATGCTGTCGTCGGACTTCGCCAATTTGGCGTCGGAGGCCCAACGCATGCTCGATTTCGGCGCCGATTGGCTCCACATGGACATCATGGTACTCTTTTCTTCGTAAATTTCGTTGTTTTTTTTCCGTAAATTTTAATAAAGCCGACTAATTTATGTCTTTCGTTTGGTGGTGCAGGATGGGTAGGTTTTGATGTTTTGCTTATGTTGTAATGTTCCTGTTTATGTTTTAGCTCCACGGAATTCGGGTTTGATCATTTCTGTTTATTTGGTTTTTGCCGAAGTTGGGTTTGGTAACATGTGTTCTTATGATCTTATTATTTAATCCTGATTATGATAATAATGGCTTTTCATTCTTGTTTAATGCGCTGTTTGGAGCTGTCCAGTGGATGTCATGATTTTCAGCTTCCAATTCCTTGTGGTTTTATTCGTTGATTTTGCATTGTGTTCGTTTGATTTTTTTTTTTTTAAATACAATTCATTCATAAGAAAATGAGTTTATGGGTCCATTTCGTTGCCAATATTGCTGATTAGTGTGTGATTTGTGGTTTTATACATTCGACTGTAAAGGGTCTTATGGTCATCGTTTTGTACCTGAATAGGCACTTTGTCCCAAATCTTACAATTGGAGCACCAGTCATTGAGAGTTTGCGAAAGCACTCCAAGTAAGATCTTCTTTTTATGTTCCTTCGTTTGAGAATTTGTGGTGGTGGCATTTTAACAATTTCTGGACTATATATGAAAATTTTATTCTTATTACATACAGAGCATATTTGGATTGTCATCTTATGGTTACAAATCCTCTTGATTATGTTGAGCCTTTGGGAAAAGCTGGTGCTTCTGGTTTCACTTTCCATGTTGAGGTTTCTAAAGGTATGTTGTTGTTGGTCACTTGGTTGAAATGTTTTATATATATATATATATATATATTTGGGCTATTGATTTTACCTGTTTCCTTGTGATTTGGTTAGAGAATTGGCAAGAACTTGTCCAAAGGATAAAGTCAAAGGGCATGAAGCCTGGTGTGGCTTTAAAGCCTGGGACACCAATTGAAGAAGTTTATCCTCTGGTACGCCTTTTTGTTGTTGTTGTTGTTGTTTCCTTCTCGATTTCTACCTTTGTCTGCAATATTGGTTTAAGACACACTTTTATTGCTAACTTTATCCAGATTCAGGATAAATCAAGGTTTATTAGTAATGTGCGTATCTGTTTACTATTTGTAATGCTACCAAAAAGACACCTCCTTTTTGCAAGTAACCAGATAATTTTTATCATCATACAGATTGAAGCAGAAAATCCCGTGGAAATGGTCCTTGTTATGACTGTCGAACCTGGATTTGGCGGGCAGAAGTTCATGCTGGAGATGATGGATAAGGTGCCATTTCTTCCTTCTATGTTATTTCCTTTATTTTCTATCTTTTAGTTTCCATGACAAGGTTCCCTTTTTCTTACTGTCATAATTATGTTCTTTTCCCTTCTTCTATGAAGGTGCGCACATTGAGAAAGAAGTACCCTGCTCTTGATATTGAGGTAAGTCCATCCATGTCAGTCATCGATGCCTTTGATGACGAGAGCTGTATGCTAATAGGGAGTGAGGATGTTATTGTACTCCAAAATGTTTTTGGGTGACATTTGGGATCTTCTCAAATCATTTAGGGAGATTTTGGATATAACAATTTAAACATATTTTCCTCTAGTAAAATCTTCACAAGTATTGTGCAAAAGTTTCCTTCTTGGTTCATTTATTGGAATTAAAACCCTTGAAAGAAACTTAGCTTGCCCTTCGGTTTGTTTATTAGAATTAAAAGCTTTGATGTTTTCCTTGCCCTTGTTTTCCGAATTCCGATACTAACTACTAGCTTCCTTTCCTTTTTTTGCAACTTCAGATTCTCCTGGTCAGCCTTTAAATCAGTTTCCCCTTTTCCTTTCAGTCTTCCTTCTCACCTCCTCCTTTCTGTCATATATGCAGAGAATAATTTGTTAAGACAATAAAAGGAACATATTAAGAAGCACGCAATCTCTATATATTTCTAGTCTTTTATACCTATGTACCGGCGGTGCTACCTAGCTCAACATGTAAAGTTCTCTCCATTTGCAAAATTTCATGGATCAATGCCATTGATATAAGGTCAACCTCATTTTGCAGGTAGATGGCGGTTTAGGGCCCTCAACCATCGAAGCGGCTGCATCAGCAGGAGCAAACTGCATTGTAGCAGGGAGTTCAGTGTTTGGAGCTGCTGAGCCAGCACATGTAATATCCCTCTTGAGAAATAGCGTTGAGGAGGCCCAAAGAAACAGTTGAATGTTCGTATAGGCTCAAGGCCATTGATGAATTATATTTGATACTCTAGACTATACATACATGCATCGAGAGTGTACTTTACTTTTAACGATTGTTTTTGATTTACGATTTTTGAGTGTTGTATCTCTCTAAATGCAATAAAAGCTAATTCAGCTTTTAAGTGATATATGTAAAGGCGTTGGAATACAATTTTCATTTTGATGCAGGAGCAGGAGCATATTTGAACTAGGGAGGCGGCTTACGTGGCCTAGGCCTCGAAGAAGTGTTTGGGCCAATTTGTTGGGTGTGCTCATAGATTCGTAAGGGACTCCTCGAAGTAAGGGCCCAAACGAGTAGTGTTTGGGGTGGATTCCCGAGTCTGGTCCTGGGTGATGTTTAAAGGATTTGGTTGCGCCTCTCCAATCAATTTGCAACTCTTTTTGGGAAGAATGGTTGCGTCAATCCTACATCACATTTAATCGGTGCATATGCTTATTTTCAGCTTTCTTTTAAAGTAGCCAGTCATCTATTTTGAGTGTTGTTCTCTTTTTCTTGAAAGATCATCTCACCTTTCAGGTCATGTTTAGAACCTATATTTTTAGGTGGAAAGAACATAAAATTTGAGGGATTAATGTTTCTTAGTTGGAAATTGGAACCCAAAAATTGGGGCTGAAAAAAATTATTAAAGAAAATTCAGCGAAAAATTAAATAGAGCAGGTCGATTTTATTTTTCATGAAATTAAGAGAGGAAAATTTAAATATGCAAAATTTATATTTATGTTGTGCCTTTTCTCTCACTTTCTTTGACCTCGATTCTGACTCAATACTAACACAACCCTAGCCCCGAATCTCGATCTGGCCTTCACATCGGTCCCAACCTTGACGCAACATCGGTCCAAACCCCTGACATCGGTCTTGACCTCCGACTGGATAACAATAGGTGAAATATACTCAAGTGTTATATATGAATGTTTTACAGATGTTTTTTGAAGTTTTTATTCTAAATTGCAAAAATAATTAAATGTGCAAGGGGTATAAGCATGAATACAGGCAGCTGCATTTTCATGAAAAGGTCGTAAATATATGGGCCATTTTGATTTTTGACAAATCAAAGTGGTTAAGAGGTAGAAAAGGTACACTTTATAGTTTTTTTTCCCCCTAGTGAAGTAGGGGCAAATTAAAACTAAAACTAGTGCTATAGTTAAGTGAAAAATACGTTTTATCCTTTTATTTTATTTTTTTAAAAAAATATGTGCGATTATTTAAGCTCGATCGTTAGAATTAGCTGATCAATTCCCACGTCCAATTGTAGTAGCATTAACATAGTAACAACGTGGTAATAAGAACATATTTGTTTGCACTAGAACCAATGTCAAAATCCGAGAAGCCCACATCTTGCTCAAACACTTGAAACACGATAAAAGATTTTCATGTCTGCATTTTTGAACCAATAAATTAAGCGAATCCCGCAGATTGAAAAGATTTTTCGTTTTGGACACAGAAATTCCTTACGTAAAAAGCTTGTACTAAACACACCCAGTTTTGCTGATCGTTAAGCCTGCAGTGCATTGTATATATACAATGTCTTAATCCTGCTGCTCTCTTCCGCATCAGATTCGTTTCGCATTTCCATGCATATATATATATATATGTATATGTATATATTTGCATTTATATATGCAGTGAATGCGATTATACGAAGCCTGAGAATATCATGATACGTCGTATCAACCAATATATTCATTCATTCGTATTCCTCTACCACACACATATCGTCAACACAATATTTCTTGAGACTTGAGAGCAATGCACTGCCCATCTTTGGTGCACGTGACCAGGATTTCCTCGACAAAATAAGACTGTTTGATACGAGGAAAAGGAAATAAAATAGTTCAATTCACATATTATTATTATTATTTTTTGAATAACCGTGGTGTTCGAGTCTTTATCCCGACTCAGTCACTGGATCCCTGTAAAGTGCACTCTTCGCCTGGATTTGGTACATCTCGGGCTTTTGGCCCCGGGCATATCCTAAGGAATTGACAATATTAAGGCCCTATTCATTTCACCGATTTGAGTTTAGAATTCGAGTTTTGTTATAGTAGAAAACTCTTAGAAACAGTCACATCTAACTTTTTTATTACAGTAAAAAATTCTCACATAAAGTCACATCTCAACTCAAATTAAAAACTCAAATCAGCGAACTAAACTGACCCTAAATGGAAATTGAACCTTAGACCTAATGCTTCCTGAGGCACAAAGTCCAAGCACCATTGAGCCAACCTCTTACGATTCAATGCATATATTAAATTAATGTGATTAAAATTGTTTGATGCTTTACCGTAGATTTAGGATCCGTTTAGATAGTTATGCTTTTACTCTAATCAGTAGTAGAGAAATATAAGTCAGAGCCTTTTAGTAATTACTGTTTGGATAGTGCATTTCAAAAGAACTTTTGAATTTGTTTAGTTAAATAAGTCAAAAGTTTTTATTGTTATAAAACTTAATATACTGTAAGGCTATCATATGCATGAATTTTTTTAATTTGTTATTCACAAATAAAAAGTCAAAAATGTAGATAGAAAATTTTTTCATAAGTACGAAAGAGACGATTTTCAAAAGAAAAAAAAAGCTTATAAAAGTAAAAAATCCAATCAATTTGTTTGTTGATCCAACGCCTCTCTAAAAATAACTTTTGGACTAAATAAACTGAAAGTTACTTATTTTAAGCCATTCCAAACTGACTTAAGATGATTAATACTATAAATTTATAATGGCTAATTCAGATTGATTTTTAGCAAAATTTTCTTACAAAATTTTAAGACTATTTTACAATTGACATGATCCTTATCTTCATATAATAATAATGTGACGAGGTAATTGGTCTTTGCCATGAGCATATCAGGCAAGCTGATCTAGACTCCCAGTCAAATTTGTGTCCCTAAGTTTCCTTTTAATGAGGTGATTAGTGGTTGTCATGTGCCATCACGTGCGCGTTGTCAAGCTCAACATTAGACTTTCGGTGAAATCGGTTCATTGGTAATTGGATTTTTTTTTACTTTATTAAGAGAAAAGTACAAAACATTTTTTCTGTCTAGTCTTTAGCGTCAAAAGGAAAAGACATTCATATGTTTCATTCAAATGAATCAGCCAACCAAAAAGCAAAGAAATCGATTACTTTGTAGAGTTCTTTGTAATCTCACAGAATAATATTATATATCACATAAATCTTTTATAGCTTCGAGAGAATTAAATTGGTATTTCTGCTAAAAGTGGACAAATGGTGAATTTCTAGTAAATCCTTTTTTTTTTGGGGGGGCCAGGAAATGGGAAGCTTCACTGAACTGGATTTCAACAAATAATTAAGGACAGTCCAATGTAGCTGTGCAATTAATTATTCATCACAATATACAAAAAAGAAAAACGTTGGAAAACATTAGACGATGAAGAATGTAAGCTTTATGAGTCTACTTTCAAGTTGGATTTCCTACAAAAACATTGGGAGACCTCTCTTTGCACAGATCTCAAGGATCTTCCTATTAAGAGAGGTTAGGATGTTTCCTTGCCTCTCAATGTCTTCCACTTAAAGGTGGTTGCCTTGTGTCTTAATCCTTTATTATTTTCTTTACAATTGCCATAATTTATTCATATTGTTAATCCACTATATATATATATATTTCATTTTTGAACTACAAAAAAAATAATCATATTTACAAGGTAAATCTTACTGATACCTTTAAATTTTAAGATTATTTTCAGTTTATCACTTAAACTTTTGAGAATTCTAATTTTGTCTTTTGAAGTTTAAATTGATCCCATTTAATTTTTTTCGTTGGAATTTTTATTAAAAATAGATTGAAAAAAGAGATAACATAGTAAGTGCAATCACGTGAGTTTTTTTTTTTTTTTTTTTTTTTTTTTTTTTTTTTTTTTTGTTGTCAAAAATAAATGAAGAAGTGATCATACTTAACTCTCTCATTTTTCGTTTGACTTTAACAAAAATTCTAACAACAGAGATAAAGTGAGAGAGAGTAAAAATTCAAGGGACCAAGCAGTAGTTTTAAAAAGTTGGTCAAGTAAATTGGAAATGAATCCAAAATTTAAAGGGTCATAAGCTATTGCCTTTTTGTATGATTTAACAACGTGTAGTACGTGAAGAGAGAAAGGGATTGGCTACTCTTGCGATATTGGTGCTTGTCAACTTAGGCTATTCATGCCCTATTTGACCTATCAATTCTGACTAAGGCCATAGGCTTTGCTTTCATGCCCGTGCTTTACCGAGCATCAATATTGGTGTCTCTTCGACTATATTTGGACAATGATGCTTTCTTTTCTGCATGCAAATTCTACACCTTCCAAATCCACATCATTATTTTTATACAAAACTGGCCCTTAATAAAATGATTTCACTTTCAATTATTGTCTCCTTCCAAAATGATTACATGCGTTCCGTATAGGCAATAATGGTACACATGTTTGCTCAAAATTTCTCATAACGATGTATATATATATTTTTTTTCTGCTATGCATTAATAATAAATCTGCTATGCATTTTTCTCAAGCATGCTTCTTTCTTCAAAATATTTGTGCACAAGATCAGCCTGAAAAGATTTTTTTGGGTGTTTGGATTGCACACCATATCTTCATCGACAACCTCCTACAGATTCAAGTACAAAATTTGGACCATCATCCCAAACTCAATAAGTTCGTAGTAGCTTACATAATCCGCTTGACCCCATTTCATATTTCTAGACATGAAATTTTTAATGTGCATTTTTCTTTTCCTAAAAACATCATAAAACAAAACAAAATAAAAAAGTGTCATTCAAGAAGTACTAGTACAAATGGGGTACGTGTCTATATATACATATACACATGTATAATCTGCTTTGAAGCCCAAGGAGGTTCTCAAAGTCTCACAACCAGTTAGAAGAGTGGTGACTATCTATATATAATCACTGGCAAGTGCATCCAGAGCTAAAAACAAATAAATATACACACCCCACATATAAATACAGAAAACCCTTTGTCATCCCCAAGAATCCTGTCCAGAACCAGCTTTGCTAAAATATTCTTAAAATTTTTTATTTGACATCATATTCTTCTACATGGATTCAAAATCCCCACCGTCCAAAATCCAATAACAAAACTTTCTCCATATATATATATATTTTAATCAATAGAGAGAGATTTTGATTTTCTATGTGGAAGTGATCAGTACTAGTGGTGGTGGCTTATGGGAATGGCTGCTCATCAGATCAGTAATCAGCTCTTCTTGAAAGCTTTTGTCCTTTTAATGTCTTTACTTGTCCTTATAATAAGCTGCAAATCCTCATCTCCAGATCAATATTATTCCTCCTCTGCCTTTCACTGCAATACTACTACTACTAGTAATGGATCAATTTTGAGTCACTGTGAGACCTTTGCAATTCTCCGGACAAATTCATTCTTCTCGTCTCTCTCCAACTTGAGCTCCTACCTCGGCATCAACCGCTTCGCCATCGCCGATGCCAACGGCTTCTCTGCAGTGACGGAGTTTCTCCCCAGAGACCAGCCTTTGCTGATTCCGATCGGCTGTAAATGTGACTCCGCCGGATTGTTTGTGGCACAGTTGGCGAAAACTACTGTCAAGGGGGAGAGCTTTTCCGGGATTGCTGAATCTCTTGAGGGCTTAACTTCCAGCGAAGCCATCAAGGAAAAGAATCCCGGTGTATCACCTTGGAATCTTAGTGATAAACTTGGGTTAGTAATTCCACTTCCATGTGCTTGTCCTTCAACTGAACCATTCAGATTCTTCCTCACCTATCCGGTTACTCAAGGTGATACAATCTCTAACTTGGCGATTAAGTTCAATACCACTAGAGAGGCAATTATCTCTGCCAATAACAGATCTTTAACAGGAGCCTTTAGACCTGATCAAGAAAGCTTGACACCTTTTACATCTCTACTTGTCCCGGTTAGTACTAAGCCTCTTCTCAGTTCCCTCGCGATACCCCGCCAGCCGAGTTTGGGGTTTCCGGCGACCCGCATCCCGGTGATTAGTCCACGAAAGAAGAAATCGAAGATGAGGAGAATCGGGCTGTATATTGCGCTAAGTGGGATCTTAGTTGGGGTCAGCATCGCCGTGGCGGCGGCTTTCTTGGTGATCCAAATGAAGAAGAAGCAGAATCTTTGCAAGGGAGGGGACTTGGAGCTTCAACAGCTTAGCCTAAGCGTGAGAACAACAAGCGACAAGAAGGCTTCCTTTGAGGGATCTAATCAGGACACTCTCGACGCTCAAGTCAGCACGACAGCGCCCCGAAAGGCGCTCACTGAGACCTACACTTTTGAGGAGCTTAGCAAAGCAACAGAGGGTTTCAGCTCTAGTAACCACATTGAGGGCTCTGTTTACCACGGCCGTCTCAATGGAAAAAACTTGGCAATAAAACGGATAAGACCGGATATCGTCCCCAAGATAGAATTCGGGCTCTCCAACGGCGCGATTCACCATCACCCCAACATAATAAGGCTGTCAGGAACATGTTTGAATGAAGAAGGTAGTCATGATTCATTTCTGGTTTTCGAGTATGCCAAAAATGGATCCTTGAAAGATTGGCTTCACGGCGGATTAGCCATCAAAAACCAGTTTATCGCCTCCTGCTATTGTTTCCTAACATGGAGCCAAAGACTTAAGATCTGCCTTGACGTGGCCATGGCGTTGAAGTACATGCACCACATAATGGACCCTTGTTATGTCCACAGAAACATCAAGAGCAGGAACATTTTCTTAGACGAGGAATTTAACGCGAAGATCGGGAATTTCGGCATGGCAAAGTGCGTAGAAAACGACGCGATTTCAGAGCCTCTAAATTGCACCACAAATCCTTCATCTTGGAGCCGAGGCTATTTGGCTCCGGAGGGAGTAATCTCCACAGGAACAGACATATTCGCATATGGGGTTGTCTTGCTCGAGGTTTTATCGGGCCAAACGCCTATAATAAGGCCTAATGAGAAAGGAGAACGCGGGATTCGGCTCTCGGAGAAGATCAAGTTCATACTGGAGTCGGAAAATGCAGAGGAGTTACGGGAGTGGATGGACAGTGCATTGGGAGAAAACTATTCTTTTGATGCGGCGGTTACGTTGGCCAACCTTGCGAGAGCTTGCGTAGAGGAAGACCCCGCGTTGAGACCCACCGCGGACGAAATTGTTGAGAAGTTGACGAGACTTGGTGAAGAGTCGCCACAAGGAGAGTGTAGTTTGATCAGTGAGAGCTCTTCCAAGCCACTAGTCAAAGCAGCTGCAAACAATATGTGAATAATATATAATAGGCATTTTGTGAATTGTCGTTTTCGAATGTTTTGAGACTTTTAAATCAGCTTATAATGGATGTCATGTACTAGTGTATATTTGGATAAGAGTATGAGTTTGCACATAATATGGGCAGTTTTCAATTATGTACTCTCTGTTTTGTTAAGTAATAAATCTCACTATATCAGTGCTACTCCTCTTTGCTTTGTAAATTTGTTTAGTTCTCCTTTCTTGTGGGGTTTAGGAGATTGCTGGTTTTTATTTGATAGTAATTTCAGGAGAATGTCGTTTATTTGGTCATGCGTTAGTTTTTGTCTTGTTTCACATGATTTCTTGTTGCTATATATGATGCTTCATCGAGACACGCGTTGTTTTGACCATGTCAGTCAAACCTAACCCATTAAAAATCGATCCAAGACCTTCGTAACCAAAAAGGAAAAACATATTTATGTAACCAAGTCATGTTAAAGCTTTTAATAGGAGAGGTGTCCAAGATGTCGGGACCATTAGATATATATATATATATATATATATATATATATATTTCCGAAGATAAAATCCTAATGAGTTCTTAAGAATAAGAAAATTTTAAATTAACATTATGGGCTTGTTCTTTTGAGTGAAAAACTCAAAAAAATACAACTCGAGTTATAACTTTATTCGAGTTCATGTTCTTTTAAGTTTAAACTAAAGTTTAAACTCGAGTTCAAGTTTCTCCTTCAACTCGAGTTCAGAAACTCGAGCTCAAATTAATGAAAAATATTTTTTCTATTCTTAAAAATGCTATAACTTTTTCGTTTTAATTCTGATTGAGATGATTTTTTTTCTATGCGTTGACA